CCACTCACCTGGGCCACTCACCTGGCCCACTCACCTGGGCCACTCATAGCTTTTACCTTTTCCTGTGCGGTTTTGGTGTTCTGTGGCTCATGATCGTGCTGAACGTTCCTCGTCTGCAGACTCAGTCATCTTGTCAAACAGAGTAAACTGCATTTACTGTCAGGCTCTGTTTTCGATAGGTACACTTTCCTGTCTTTTAAACCCAATAAAAACGTCACAGCAACGTTATGTAGTCTGAGCTGCCTTAAGAAGAAACCTGTGAGCAGACTGCTGCACATTCACTTCAGCTGCTGCAGTGCAGTGGGCTGGATTCCTTTGGCAGATTATGTTTTAATCCCTCAGTCCTAATATTGCACGCTGATATTTAGCCACGTGATGCTAATCTACTGTGAAAAGGACGGCTGTGTTGCTCTCTGCTTTTGTGTTTTTAGTGGAGAATGTCTGTCAGGCAGTAAAAACGCTGTCCTCACTGCATCAGAAGCACAGCTCACTGTCAGTTTCCCACACAGGAAAATGAATAAATGAATTTTATCCAGAATACCTACAGGGTACCACAGACTCTTTGCTGCATGTGTTTGGCTAATTACAGTCGACACACTACTCTGCATCACGGCCCACATGTTTCAGTGGGGGCCAGTTTCAATCAGACCGCATTTCTATGAAACAACAGAAAACCAACATGCACGGCAGCTTCGATGGCCCACTTTAACTTGCTGCTCATGTGACTGGTTGTTTCCAGCCTCAGATCATTTACCCTCTGCACAGACCCACTGCTCTTAGTGGTAGTGACAGAATGAGTGAATTCAGGAACAGCTGAGAGCATCTCGCCCTCGTTTCTGAACCATGGATAGAACAAGTGTTTGCCATGCTAGCGTTAGCGTTGTTACACTGTGTGCGTTTGGGTTAATCCCGTCCCCGAGCTCTCCTGGCCTGGTGGTACCAAGTCCTGGGCAGTGCCCTCACTGTAAATGATTATTCACACTTGTAATGTCAGGCTGTCGGTCCATGAACCACTGGCTGCTGGACTCCACCACCTTCTCCTCAGCGTGATCCTCCTCCAGACAGAGTCCCTACAAACCCTGGAGTCAGAGCCCATCCAGGCTCTTTGTCTTCAGTGCTGCTAGCAGAGCATCAGGACTGTTCGGGTCATGAAACTGGACTGTTCGTGGCCGTAACTCCATGAAAGTTGTGCTAGAACACTTGAAGCAGTCTTTTACTCGTCCAGCAAACTGAGAGCTGTGGCCAAGGTCCAAAGGGATTCACATGTTTGGTTATAGTTGCTCCCTCATGGTAACCGCTGAGTTAAAGCTGCAGCTCCTTCCAACAGCAGCGACATTAAAGCTTCAGCGACACCATGGCTGTCATGGATTCCCTGATGTGTTCCCGTCCAATAATGGGCCAGGCCTCTGGTTCAAACCAGGTGACTCTCAGGTGTGGTCTTTTGGTGGCCTGGTGGTCGTGGCAGCATTTCTGTGTCCCTTTGTTCCTTATCAGGCTTTTCTTCTCCGTGCAGGCCTCTCTCTGTTCAGAGTCGTGGTAAGGCCCAGCGCACAGACACTACATTCAGCTGGTTCATAGAGTGCGAAATAGAAGCAGGTTTAAATTGAAACACGATGTTTTTTGCTAGCTTTATATCCCAGAAACATGCATGTACTTCCAGCCTATAGATGTCCAGGCAACGTGAAGACAGAAGAGCACAACAGCAGCTGTAAAGGGCCAACGTCATGGACATTTACATTTCTGTGTTTTTCTTTGTTTCTTTGCCTCCAGATCTATGCAGCTCTTAACATCTTCTTTGGCATGGCCAGTATTGGCCTGCTGACGGTGGTGGCCATTGATCGCTACCTCACCATCTGCAGACCAGACATAGGTATTCATTTACACACCTTCCATGTGTCATACATGTGCAGTTTAACTAACGACTGCAGCTGCTATTTTTAAAATATACATATATAAGATGACTAGACCACCTTGTTTTCCTCAATTTCTTGATCATTTTAATGGTCAGCTAAAGCCTGGATGGAGAACCAGAACACTGGAACCATGCCTTGGTCTGCTCAGTCACCAGATCTACATCTAGCTGAAAACCTGTGGAGACCATCAAAGGCTAAATGGAGAAGCACAAGCCCACAAACAAAGCACATTGGTTTGAATTAGTGCAACAGGAATGGGCTGCTGTGGCAGCAGAACCATGTCAGAACCTGGTGGAGAGCAGCCAAGACACATGGCTGCAGTCATCAGAAACTATGGTTCTGCCATCAGGTACTAACTCCTGTGCATCATGTGACTGAAACAGACAGAACAGGAACCATGGACCGTCTAACAGCTCTGGTTCTGGCAGCACAATGCCATAGCTGCTGGTGGAACAACTTAGTACCAACAAACCCTGTAACATGTCTGATATCAGCTCTTAACCCTTTCGACACTACAGCCCACTGTACCGGGCTGGCGTTACGACTCCCGGCAACCTTGCAGCCCGGTATGGCGGCTCCGGTCTATGGAGACTTTCTGTTACATTCAATCTGATCGGCTATCAGTGGGAGGGTTAGGGTTAGGGTTAGGGCTAACCCAAACCCTAACCCCCTGCATGTGAACAAATGATTCAGTCATGAAATAAACTGTCCAAATGAAGTAAAAAAACATTGTTTGACCCCAAAAATCACCAGAAAATGTGATTTTCGCGACCTCGTGTCCGAAATGTTCTAAGCAATCAAAGCCGACTAACTAAATAGAAGTCTCTGGCTGATGTCTCGGTTTATGAGAACTGATAATTAACTGCATACAGGGTTCTCTCCAGCGTCCTAACAGAGTAACGACCCGTTACGCTGCAAATTGGGCCGATACGCTGTTTTAGAGGGTACGGAATTGGAAAATATTTAACAACAAGTGCCGATGGAGTTTCACTGCCATCGTCTTCACTGCTAACGCTGCTATTTGTCGCAACCTGTTAGCAGCATTCATTCAGACACACAGAGTCCAGAGAACTTGTACTGGTGCTGGAGCACCTCGGCTAGTGGCAGTTCTACGGATAGTGGTGGTGCAAGAGGTCTCATGTGAACCTGAATCTGTGGAGGCTGGGCCATTTTCTGGCAAGAGCATGCTGCTACAGCTAAGCTAAAAACTTAAGTGCAGAAACACAGACACAACCTGGTAGAGGAGAGCAGAGGTAATAGATTAATACGATACATATTCAAGCAGGGCAAGGTTCTGAACAGGCACCACATCATAGGTTCAAAGATGTGTTGGGTAGCCATCCCCAGGGATATGCACACATACATACAGATGTCAAACAAGAGACAAAAGGGAGACATAAAGAAAGCAAAACTGTACTGACACTTCTTGATTATGCACATGTCATTTCTCTTTCCAGGGCAGAAGATAACTGGACAATCCTACAACTCTCTTATTCTGGCAGCATGGCTGAATGCTGTGTTCTGGTCCTCCATGCCTATAGTGGGCTGGGCTGGCTATGCCCCCGACCCCACTGGAGCTACATGCACCATCAACTGGAGGCAGAATGATGCGTGAGTCTCCAGCTTAATAGCACTAGTACTGCATATTAAAAACTGCTAAGTAAATGAATGGTTAATAAAGACTACAGAGACACTATGACGCCCATAACGAGTTGCTGCTACTGCTGTATGTACTGCTGATTGGACTGGAACTAATACATCCTGTTAAATTCCTTTAATGTTATTTATACATAAAAACATGGCACCTTGTGAATACAGACCAAAATAACCCAGAAATAACATAAACCATCTTAATTTGCCGCTTTGTTGAACAAGACAGTCCATATCATGTCCATACCTTCTGCTTTGTCTCAGTGTCTTCCATGTCTCCGCATTAGCAGTAATAGTAGCTGGGAGCTTTATGTTTTTGGCCTGGTGCACACAGTAGCCGGGGCAGGAGCTTGGGTTGAGCTAGCGCAGATGCAGATATTGGTGGTAGTAGTGGACAAGGGTTCCTTCAGCTCACAGCAGCTCAATAGGGACTGGTCAGCTCGAAGGTCCCATTGGTCTAGTATCTATACATCCACCTGTTCAACCCTAACGCTGTCCGTACATCCACCTGTTCAACCCTAACGCTGTCCGTACATCCACCTGTTCAACCCTAACCCTGTCCGTACATCCACCTGTTCAACCCTAACCCTGTCCGTACATCCACCTGTTCAACCCTAACCCTGTCCCTAACCCTAACCCTATTCCCAACCCTAACCCTAACCCTATCCGTACATCCACCTGTTCAACCCTAACCCTATCCGTGCATCCACCTGTTCAACCCTAACCTAACGCTGTCCGTACATCCATCTGTTCAACCCTAACCCTACATCCACCTGTTCAACCCTAACCCTGTTGGTCTGTCTCATTCTCTTGAACATGATATCCCAGGAACATCTAAAGGATTTTTTTTTTAAATTGGACATGTTTAGTTGGGCTCAAGGATAAACTGATCAGACTTTGATATTAATTTGATCAAAGCTCGAAGGTCAAGATCACCGCGACCTACGTCCATCCAGTTCCTATGAATATGATCCCCCAGAAAGGTCTGGATGGAATTTCTTCTCGTTTGCCATTGAGGTGCATTTGGCATCAACAAGTGATCAACAACTTAACAACAACTACAACTATTTAAACTAAATGTACTGTATGAGATTTTGCTGCTGAATGTAAAACATCTTAGCATAGAACTTCATTAGTACTTGTGAGAACCTAGAACCTTCCTTTGCAGAGCGTCACCTGCTTAAGCTACAGCTCCACTGTGAGCAAAACTAGAACCACAAGCATCACATCTACCAGAACAGCACACACTGTTTCAAAGGCAGATAGATTATCAACAAATGTAGTGAAAACATAACTATTAAGGCAGTTACAGTACAATAATCCAGTCATTCCTCTCAGTGAGTAGTACTCTGCCAGTGGAACAGGAATCATAGTTAATACTATGTAGGACTGTAATGCATGTACTATGTAGTGAACGACATATATACTCTGCACATGGTCCAGACATTTGTTTTCTAAGATTAAAATGTAAAAGTACAACTGCTTTGATGATTTTATGTTTTAATGTCAACACAGTAAGGAAAGCTGTATTTAATTTGAATTACTAGCAATTAAAGTCTTGTCTAAAACAATATGAGTTAAAACAAGTTCTAGTGCATGGTGCCAAGCTTTAGGTAAAACACAGTCCAGTACATCACTGTGTGTGGAGACACTAACCTCCTACGGTTCTGCTCTACAGCTCCTTCATCTCCTACACCATGGCAGTGATTGCTGTGAACTTTGTGGTTCCGCTCTCTGTCATGTTTTACTGCTACTACCACGTGTCCCTCACTGTCAGGAGATATAAAGCCACCAACTGCCTGGACAGCATCAACATCGACTGGTCGGACCAGATGGACGTCACCAAGGTACAAACTGAGCCACACTGTCCAACTTTCAGGCCTCCTCTGCTGTCATTGAGTCAGTGTGCAGCTCAGAGGGGCCTGCAGGTACAGTAGGTCCTCACTGTGGTGGTGGGACAAAGCTGTCCAACATTCTGGTTAGCTGTCCAATAATCATGCTTGGACTGGGTGCAGTGCTTGGAGATGCATCACTTGTGAAACACTTCTAACCTACACTGTAACCACAGCGGACATGTGACAGAGTTATTTTGTGACCAGAATGCATCCAGTGTCCACTGGACGCCATACAGCTGTGCTGTTTGATTGTCCATCTCCCATATGTCTGTGTTCAGTTCTAATCAGCACTATCTACACCGGTACTGGAGCACAGCAGATCCAGAGTAGATGCTGTAGCTGCTCTGCACTACCTGTGCTACCCTGCTAGTCAGCAGCTGATGTGTTATTTTTGAAAGGAGGGATGGCTTAATGGACGCACCCTGCTGTTCCCATGACACCAACACACACACCATGTACACACACACCATGTATGTACACACACACCATGTATGTACACCCACACCATGTACACGTCCACAGCTCGTTGTTTCAGTATGAATCCGGCAGACAGCACGAACACATTCAACCCAGTCCACCTCTGCACTCTCTGCTGCTGCTAGCAGATGGAGAGGGGATGGGAAGGTATGAAGGGGCATCTGTTTTGGTCATGCTGCTAACTTCCCTTCTCATCTTACTTCATTACTTTATGGCAGGGCGCCACCTACTTGTGTCGGCTTGTGTTATGCTCAGCACACATACAACATTAATGCATCTCAAAAAGTCAAACATTGTGGAAAAGTTCCATTTTTGGGGGGAATTTCATTTAAAAAGGTCAACTTTATATATTCTATATTCATTACACATAAAATAACATCCTGGAGCCCCTTTTAATTCTAATGCTTATAGCTCATGGATATCAGAAATCCAGTATCTTAGATCATTACTTGAGATAAATCCAATAAAGGATCTACAATACAGCAATGTCCAAACTTTGGAGAGTATGTTCATGTCTATATTCAGCTGGGATGGGGCTCCTTCACTACAGAACCCTGCAGCAGTGTGGCCTGGCATGGAGGCGAACAGCTGGTGGCGCTGCTGAGATGTTACTGAATAGCAGCCTTCAGCTCATCTGTGTTGTTGGGTCGAGTATTTCTCATCTTCCTCTCGACTGTACCCCAAATGGGGTTCTATGGGGTTCTATGGGGAATAGTCCAGTGGCATTGAAGTTGAGGCATTGAGTAATATTTTGGTCAGCAAATCACGTGGTAGTTCTGGCTCTGTGAGCAGGAGCTACTCATGGCACCCAGATCCTCACAGACTCTGGAAACTTCACATTAAACTTCAAACACTTTGGATTCTGTGCCTCTCAGTCTTCTTCTAAATTTAAGGGCCTTGACTTTCAAACAAAATGCAAAGTTTACTTTCATCTGAAGGCTTTGGACCACTGAGCAGCAGTCCAGTTCTTTTGTTCCTTAGCCCAGGTAAGCCTCCTCAGAGTGTCTCTGGTTCAGGAGTGTCTTGATATGAGGAATGCAGCAGGTGCAGGCCCTCCTGAAGACGTCTGTGTTTGATGCACTGAGCCCAGCTTCAGTCCACTCCCTGTGAAGCTCTCCTGAGTTCCTGAATGGACGGTCTTCCCCATGGCTGTGGTTGTGTGCACTGAACTAGACCAAGAACAGTACATGAATAGCAGTTTACGTCAACTGGAAATGAACTGTTCTAATATACAGATACAGAGTTTCTGATGTGGAAATATTTCACTTTATGCGTAATGATTTCAGAATATATCGAACGTCACTTTCTTCAGTAACTGATGGAAATGTTTTAGCTTTTGTCTGATGTTCTAATTTTTTGAGATCCACTCGTGTGTTGGACCACGAGGGACCTTCAGATCCCTGACTGTGATTTTAAACATGGCTTTTGTTTCCCCAAATGTTTATCTGCAGAAGTGAACACTCTTCTTCATATATATACACACAGTGTGACAGCCTGTGTTATATGACTGCTGTGTTGCTGTGCTTGTTGCCACTAGATGTCCATTGTAATGATTGTCATGTTCCTGGTTGCCTGGTCTCCGTACTCCATGGTGTGTCTCTGGGCATCATTCGGTGACCCCAAGACCATCCCTGCTCCCATGGCCATTGTTGCTCCACTCTTTGCCAAGTCCTCCACCTTTTACAATCCCTGCATTTATGTTATTGCCAACAAAAAGTGAGTTTTTGTCCTTTTTGCTTTGAGAATGGTAAAAGTGTGTGTATTTATGATGTGCCTGTGATAAGCAGGATGAAGAGGGCTGTTTCTGTTTGTTTTAATGTGCACATTTTTCCTGCAGTTTTAGGAGAGCCATCATAGGAATGATTCGATGTCAAACCAGGCAGCGGATCACCATCAACACCCAGGTTCCCATGACAACCTCCCAACAACCGCTGACCCAGTGAGATGAGGTTGCTTTATGGAAAAAGTAGTTTTACTTGGAATTAGGACCATGTATAGAATATGGCTGTAATGATACCAGATTATTTCCTGTCAGTGTGCATTTGTTGAATAGTTTACTGTGTAAACTCAACTTGCAGCTCCGTTGTGGTGATTGTTTGTCGTCCAGTTGATGCAATAACTAAATGACAATGAAAACCTCTCTGTGTATGATTTCATTCTTCGGCTGTTTGACAGACTCATCCTGCACTACGTCCTCTCATATGCTCTATGCATGGACTCAGATGCCATCTCTCCATGCAGCACCATATTCTCACACCTACACCTTCACTGCTGCAGACTATGGACTGTAGTAGTCATGCAGTTACCCAACTAGCCTAAAGGAACCCATCTGAGCCAAGCACATTTATCTTGGTCTCATCAGACCAAAGAATGTGCCTCTAAAAACGGTCCATAGCGTTGTTTTAGACAACAGCCACTGCGACCCTGCGTAGTGATACTACGGTCTTAATTATGGGTTTCTGATTACGAGTGACCCTAGTGAG